TATCATGATGCTCTGCAATAGCATGTTTCCTCACTCGCTCCACGATCTCCCCCTACCAATGCACCATGATATCGTCAGATTGCATATGTGAGCTGTCAGTGGCTTGATTAGTGGACAATTGTGCGTTGATTGGAGTTGTGAGTGTCCGAACTGTGAGGTAGGAGCCAGAGCAGGCTGGGCCTTTTGCATGATCGATAATGTTGGAAATCTGATCGCCGCGGCCTCTGGTCCAGCCCCCTTTCCTCGGAAGACTTCGGGACCAGCAGAGATGCTCGTGGCTGCGAAGGCGATTGGGCGCAAATCTCAAGGCCACCTCCATCGGATCACGGACCTCACGGACCTGTCCGCATGTTAGAGTGCCGGCCATCCAAATTGCAGCCACTCGAGTCACCAGTACACGTCGTCCATTGCGAATCGTGCTCATTTCCGCTTGTGATCGTTTCTGATTGTTCCCGACCCCCTAGTGGCCAGGAAGAGGCCCAGGATAGAACAATTAGAAATGAAAGGATCTTGCCCCCCGAAAAATTCAAAGAACTCTCGAAGAACTGAAGATGAACCATGTCTACGTCAAGTTGTGGATGGAACCCTGGGGGGGGAGTCGAGCGTGCTGGACTGGGCCAGATCGCCATCGAGCGGAGTCACCGTCTCGCACGCGCCAGGCTCGAGCACGGAGAGCAGGCAGTCCCGCAGGGCATCTGGGAGGGGGACGCGGGCAGGCCGACGTCCACGCGCAGCAGGGCGCGGCCCGGCACCCCCGGGGCGGCGGCCCCCCGGAGCGAGATTCGCCGGCTGCGGGAGGCCGCTGCCGCCACGCCGCCGAGAGAACCCTGCGGCGGTGCTCCATAGAGGAAGCGGGGTGGACACCGACAGGAGGGAGCCCGCACCGACAGCCATCGGCCTCACGCAGAGGGAGGGCAGCGGCCACCAGGTGCGTAGGCTTCGGACACACGGGGTCTGCAGAAGAGGTATGGAAATGGCCGTGCTCAACGGTGCAATCGTTTGAAGCTGGAAGGTGGTGGACCCCTCAAGGGGGCCCGTGAATCGCACAGCTCGCAGCGCCTCTGAAGGCACGCCCAATTGTTGGGTGTAGTTTGTACTGGTCGCTGCGCTTCTAGAACGTACATGATCGCCGGACAGTGCGTGGGAAGTCCCCCGTCCCCCCTAAACCTGGTTCCTTCGAGGCACTTCAGTAGGAAGTACCTTACACGGGGGGGGGGGGCTTCTGGCAAGAGCTGAAGGAATGGGTTTCACGTGCCTGCTCCATACTGTTCGCAAAGCTGATCCTCCTGGATCAGCGTCTCACGAGTTTAGCGTTAGGTCGGGCGTCCCCCTACAGGCGTATTTTGGAAGAAAAATTGAGAATACCACAGAAATGCCTCAAAATAGCAAAACACAACCTGTAGACAGACACGCCCAACCTAAGTTTACCTGCGTTTGGCCTGGTGCCTCCTTCTTGGAGCCCCCCGTCGTCATCCGACGGCCTCGGAAGCCTCCAACTCTCCCTCCCCTCCCCCTCCGCTCCCGCCAGGCCACCTGCAACTGCAACTGCGCGCGGTGGCCGAGCCCTCGCACCCGCGGCCCGCCGCGAAACCACCGTGACGTGTGAGCATCGCTTCTTCTCAGGGAGCAACTCCTGGCAGGCCTACGTACGAAAGATTGATAAAAAAACGATGCGTCCCCGCGAAGGGGCCACTACGGACTGGCCCAAATTAAGCCGAGGACTCAGCCGGATCAAGCTGGACTGAGCGGGATGCGGCCAGATTCAAATATCAGCGCAGATGCTGAATTAACCTCCCAGGAGGTGCACCCGCCTCTATCCGATTCCTATCCCCACTGGCCAGGCCTTGGCCCCACTTGCCGACTTACCCACCTAGGTAGGGACACATCCTCCCAGGCTCCAACCCAAACGGGTCCCCCCACAGATGGATCAGTCCCAGGGTCCCTCGGCCCACCCCCCGTCCCAGATGGACTGGGGGGGCAACGGCGGCGAGGACGACGACGACGACGCCGACGACGACGACAGGGGACGGCCTCCATCGACTCACTCCACCGATGGGTGGTGTCCACCACGACACGCCCAATGGGGGGGGACCATCGCGGGAAGGGTGGGGCCCGAAGGCATCCGCATGATGTGGGTGTGGTGGTGGGGGGGGGGGCAGACCCAGGGGCGCAGACCCAGGATCATATGTGCTCATGCTCATGCGGGTCTCGCGGGGCCTATCCCACCCAGGAGAGCAGGCAGACAGGGGATAGTGAGACAGCATGGGCCAGTGGGGATGGGGATAGGCTAGACAGTGCTGAACGTGGGGCCAAACATCGGCCCGCACTATGGGCGATAAGCCCATTGTCGGCGCGATGCCTAGCGGGCGAGAATGGTGAGATATTGCGTTCGCACTGGAACAAAAACTGCACATGCACTGGTCGGGCATTGTCAGAGGTGTCCCTGGCCCCAATGAGGTGGGCGCGGGGTGAGCTAAGGGGATAAAGAGTGATCCGTGGATGCCAAGGTGGGCTGTATCTGGCCTAACATAGCTTATACAGGGATAGCAATTGGCCCAAATGACTTGAGGGTGTGAACGATCCGGACTAAATGAGCTCTGTCCACTTAGCCGGGATATCAAACCCCCAAGCTACTTGGGGCACTGGTAGACCCTCATATAAGCTAGATCAGGCCAAGTATGACCCACCTCGGTATCCACTCATAACCGCCGTATCCCTTTGGCAACACCCGCGCCGATCCCGTCGTGAACAAAACACGACGGAACATTATATGGCAATGTTTAGCCTCCAGGGGCCCTTATCGAGCCTCGGGAGCGTCAAAACACGACCTGATGTGAAAATCGTGTCCCCAAGACGAGGCCCAGACCTCTGGGAAGCCATGCTGCGAACAAAAACACGACGTCGGATTTCTGGGAAGGTACCCCCAGAATTCCCAGGGACGTCCCAACGGCCTCCAGAGCGCCCCCTTGCGAGGCTCGGGTCTCCAAAATGGCGCGAAAAGCATGGGCCAGAAGCACCGGTGGCAACCCAACTAAGTCGTCGCAGGTCTACCCGCTCGACCAAGGCAGAGTCAAAAAGAGCAGAAGAAATGGGAGGGAGGAGTTCGGCAGGCGTCGCAAGGGCAATCGCCCGGCGGGGCTGCGATCTGTCGCGGGAGGGCAGACTGACTGCCAGCGCCGGCGAACAGTGCAGCAACGCGGTGGAATAGATGTTCTGTCCACACAGTGGAGGCCAGTCCACAGGAAACCTTCCACAAGAAACCCAGCCCTGAGACCCCAGGACGTCCATGTACTTTTGGTGTGGGAGCGTCACGCCTTCCACAGCAAAACCGTCGAAACCCAAGCAACCCAGGGCACCCTGGAGGCAAGGGGGGTGTTTATCGGCATGGGCCCTCACTGTATTTCAGCGTCCTGACTGTAGAGTTAGGTCGGGAGTGTCCTCCTACAGACGGATTTTGAAGTAAAAAATAATCAAAATATATTGAAAAACAATCCCAAATAATGGAAAATCGCCCCCATGGTGTTTCTTGGCATGGGTCCCCACTCTGTGGGAGGCGCGCAGAAGCGAGTTGGGCGCGAGGGCGCTCTTCTAAGAAGGCAGCCGAGCCCAGACGTGTGCTGCCCTGACTTGTTCAGTAACTGGAGGCCTCCCAGACGGGGTCCGAGTATGGGGGGTCGAAGGATGGCGCCGCATCGCCAATGCATCGCCGATGTATCGGCGATGCATCGGCGACGCATCGGCGACATCGGCGATGCCTCGGCGGCGTCGGCGTGGGAAAATCGGGTTCCACATCGAGCCGCATCGTCGATGCATCGGCGATGCGGTGCGATCCTCCGACCCCATCTACTCCGACCCCATCGAGGAGGCCTAGAAAAACGGGTCCCCCGAAATCCCTCACAAATCGATCCGGCTCGATAAATATCGCATGACCATTGGGTCCAGGGCACTGGTGGTGATTTCTGCGATGTCTCAATGTTCGCGCCGTCGGATCACAGGGTAATTACGTGGGGCTGCCCCAACCGAAGAGGTTAGATGATCGGCCGGCACCGCCGAACTGAACGACATTTCCACGAGGACCCTCCCCAGACATGCGATGTCTTATTGTTGTTCAGGAAGGGGTCCCAAGCAGTCCCGACCCTCTCTACGGGACAGGTCCGTCATCCTGATTATTTCTTTGACGGCGCCAGGGCCCACTAATGGCACCCAGAGGCCGAAAACTAGGAAAACCTCCCGTCCTGTCTTCTGTTCACGACGCGAGCATATTTGGGAAGGGCACGCAGGCTACTGGAAACGCTTCTTGGAGGGAGCGATGGCTTCGAAGAGCCCCGTTGCCGTCACAGAAGGTTGCCCCCCTCGCACTCCGCCCACTTGCAGGCACCGCCGAGATCCCCTGTGGTTGCTTCCGACGGAGTCGTGCCAGACGCCGAGACGTTGTCCCTTGATCGGCGGCGAGACAGGGAGATCCTCTCACTTCTAAGAAGTGTTCTGTGTCTTCAGGGGAAGGCTCAGAGAGCTTCTCAGAACACCGGAGACTTCCGAGCCTTCTGAGAAGGCCCGCCACTTCTCACTTCCCCCAGGGCTCGCCGCCGACTTGACTTTGTCCTGAAAGGGGGACGCCAATCATACACCACATGCCGATCGTGGACAAGCCCATACTTGACCCAGATTCGATGACGGCACCTTCCGTGTTCGGCCAAGAAGGCGAACAGACCGATCTTGGGCCGAGGATGGGCCTGACCTCGACTGGCGTGGTGCACACCTGGCGTCCCCGACAGCCAGCATCACAAAGAACCGCACATCGCTGCATGAGATTCGTGCCGAACGCGAACTTGAAAATTGTGCGATTCCCACGCGGGACATGAAACAAGCCCTCGAGGACTCCTAAACCCAGATGCGTGCTGCAAGAGCCCGTTTCATAAACATGTGGCCAGGCGAATGACCTACAAGGAGGCTCCCAAGGGAGTCCCCTTCCAAGGCTCGGGATTGCAGTGGTTGGGGGCTCAAGAGTTGGGGGCCGTCTGCTGGCCAAGACGAGCCAGGGACGCGCAAAGCCTTCTTGACCTTCGTCTGGCCACTGCAACTTCATTAACGAGCACCTCCGGCCGGAAGATCGGGCGCTTCTCGGGGTCCGGCTCCTGCAGCACTGCCGACACGCGGAAATGCCGCACCAGCTCCTCGTGGCCCTGGAAGCGGGCGTAGCTGACGGCAGGCTGATTCGCAGGGGGCCTGCCGCACGCGTCCTGCTGGAGCCCGCTCGCCAGGGCGGCGTGGAGGGTGCACACGTCGAGCGGCGAGGCGAAATTTACGATCGCGAGCCCCGTCAGGCGGCCGCCCTTGTGCGGCATGTAGAAGAACGAATCCGCCGCCGTGCCTCTCTGGCACGCCGCGGGGCGATTTCCGAGATGGGGGCCTCCGAGCGGGGGGCCGCGAGCGCAGCGCAGAAACGGGATGGCTGGGCGTCCGCCCACCCCTTTCGCACCAGGGGGGCCCCCGACAAGTTCTCCAAAGGACCTCCAGAAACGCCCAGGAGGCTTCGAGAAGCCTCCGAAGAGGAGGAGGAGGAAGAGGAGGAGGAGGAGGAGGAGGAGGAGGAGGAGGAGGCATCCTTTCCAAGGGGGCTGCGCATTCGGGAAAGGGGCTTCTGCGGGGTCGCTGGGCTGTGCTCGTCTCGTTCGGTCATTCGTCGCGCGTTTTGCTGGTTTCGGCTCGCGCGCGCCATAAGCAATAACTAAAGCCCGGGGCCAAAAATCGCCGTGGACCGAGGCGCGGCCCTGGCGGCCGTCTGGGAGTGAACCCCTGTGAAAAAATTGCGTTTCAGTTTTTGTTGCTCCTCTGGCAGGAGGAAGCGCGCGGTGGCCAGGCGCGCGCGCTATAGGCAATAGCTACTGCCAGGCCCACAACTACCAGGGGCCAAAGTCCCAGCCCTGGCGGCCTGGGGCCAAGAAAACGCCGTTAACGACATACGATTCAACAGAAAACTTTTCCCTCTGGCCAAGGGAAAGACACCCTCACCGCCGCATTCCCCCGGTCCGTCGGTCGTCAAGGAGGGGCCGCTGCGACCTTATAGGGCTCAAGGTGAAGCGTGGCCCGGGGTCACCTGAACGCGCGCGCCTGTCTGCGCCGCGACGATTTCGCCCACCGGGGGCCGACCGCCGAGAGGCCGAACTCCCGGGGCCCCGCGCGGCGCCCTCGCGGTCATCTCTGGCGCCCCAGGGTGCCCCCAGCCCGGGCGAGCCCAGCCCGTCGGTCAGACCTGCTGCGGCCCCGCTGTGCCGCTCGTGAAAATACCGACCCCGTGCGTCGACGACGCTCCAGGCGCGCGCCAGCTTCTGAGCGATGGCCCCGACCTCTTGTCCATAGTCTGCGAGAGCGCATCTGCGGAACAGGGGGCGCATCGCAGTAGGGCCATATAACTAAACCGCGGTTGCCTCCAACCGGATTGGGAGAAGAGCGCCGTAAAGCGGTGGAGCAGCTCTCTTCGCACCTTCGTGAATCCACTCGAAGCCCACACTGGCTTACAGTTGTTGCCATGTGATTCAAACGTAAAACTTATGATGTTGTTCGCTCAGAAGGACGGCCGGTCTGGGCCATCCTTCACCAACTTGCGCGCAGCGGTGCGTTGTTGGCACCAACAGCGCAATTCAACAGCGCAGTCCGATAGTGCATGGACCGACCGGTCAGCACAGTTCTGGCGAGGTTGAAATAAGCGGGCCGACCGTTCGCGGTCACACGCGAAACGCCCAGCCTCTCTGGACGACTTGCGCTGTTACCAGACCGCCCGCATCAAAGTAGGGAGGGTTGCCGCTGTCTGGGACGTCACTATCGCATCGATATCATTGTTCGAAGTCCGTGTGTTCTGGAACGCTGGCGCTCCGGCGTCGGGACGTAACGCTGCACGACAACTGTGCAATAGTATTCGCATCCGCCAGAAGAACGATCCCTTCGTCTGGGGCGTGGCGTGCCACACTCCAAGGATAGAGAGCCACCCGGCTCTGTGCCCATGCCACCTCCTGCGAGAATGGTTGACACAGCGGGACGCACGCTGGGGATCGAACCCTCATGCGCCCGTTTTCTGCGCGACTCACTTGGCCGAACCTCGCGCCGTGACTTGCGATTCTGTCCGCAAAAGTTTCGCGCAGTTGTTCCAGACAGCTGCTGTCGAAACGCATTCCTTGTGAAAAAGCGGCGCCCACTGGTACAAGACAGTGTGCCGTTTGCCGGAAGAGCTGGTACCAGCTCAGAGGGGGCTGGTCAACCCCTGAAGCAATGCGCGCCTTGTTTTTTCACGCTTGCCTCTCAGACAATGAGCGGTGCGATCAGCTGTTGCACACCGTGTCAACCGTCTCCATTGATGTGGCGGTACTGGCCACGGCCCATCCTCAGGCGCCCGTTTCACCAATGCCTCTGTGGGGGCGCCTCACCGGGAGTTTGCAACATTCGCCTCAACGGGGCTGCGCCTGGCCAGTGCACCTGGCGACCGTCCCTGGGTCGCCGCGGACCTGGCCAGGCTGGCCTGCAGCTCCTGAAGCACCACTTCACGAGGCAGATGTTGCCAGACGCTGGAACGGTCACCTGGGCCTCGACGTAAGAAAACCCTATATTGTTCAGTCCCCTTGTCGCCGCGCGGCGAGCAAGCACAAGGCATCCTTTCCAAGGGGGCTGCGCATTCGGGAAATGGGCTTCTGCGGGGTCGCTGGGCTGTGCTCGTCTCGCTCGGTCATTCGTCGCGCGTTTTGCTGGATTCGGCTCGCGCGCAGGCGCCCTGTTCAAAGGGTCGTGGTCTACCGCTCCCGCCCAACCCGCCCTTTTTCCCCAAACCAACATCCTTCGTTGTTGGGCCCTGTTTTGAATATGCTGCGCCCCGCGTCCCTGCGGTGGTCGCGCCTGCAGCGGGTTGGGGATATTCGCCATGACTAGTGTCTTTTTGCGTGCCTGCTGCATGGGGGTGTGCCCGGCCAGTGCTCCTGGCGACCGTCCCTGGGTCGCCGCGGACCTGGCCAGGCCGGCCTGCAGCTCCTGAGGCACCACCACACGAGGCAAATGTCGCTGGAACGGTCACACGAGCCTCGACGTAAGAAAACCCCTATCTTGACCCGTCCTCAGCCACAGTGCGGCGAGCAAACACAACGGGGAGAAGGAGGAGGAGGAGGTGAGGAGGAGGAAGAGGAGGAAGAGGAGGAGGAGGAGGAGGAGGAGGGGAGGGAGAGGAGGGAGGAAGGGGAAAAGACGAAGGGGAAAATGAGGACGGGAGAGGAAGAGGAAGGGGAAGAGGAGGAGGAGAGGAGTAGGAGGTGAGGAGGAGGAAGAAGAGGGAGGAGAGGAGGAGGAGAGGAGGAAGTGGAGGAGGAGAGAGGAGGAGGAGGATAGGGTGAGTAGCCGGAGGAGGAAGGAGGGAGGAGGAGAGAGGAGGAAGGGGAGGAGTGGAGTGAGGAGGAGAGGAGGAGGAGGAGGAGAGAGTAGGGGTAGGAGGAGGGATATAGAGGAGGAGTGAGGAGGAGGAGGAGGAGAAGAAGGAGGAGGAACGAGAGGCGGCAGTAGGTATTTCATGAGGAGTCAAGAGGAAGTAGGATAAGTTATCAGGAAGAGGAGTATGAGGAGGAGAGAGGGGGGAACGACGAACGCCGAGAGCAAAACCAGGTGGAGGATGATGAGGATGAGGTGAGGAGGAGGAGGAAGGCGGAGGGAGGAGTAGGAATGATGAGCAAGGAGGATGGGGCAAGAAGGACGAGGAGCATGGGGGGAAAGGGGGATGATGATGGAGAAAGAATGAGATGATGATGGAAGGATGAGGATGATGAGTAGTTGGACGTTGAATGAGTAGGGAGCGAGACGGGAAGGAGAGTAAAGGAGGAGGAGGACGAGGAGGAGGATGTGAGAGGACTGGGGGAGAGGCGGAGGATGAGGAGGGAGGAGTAAGGGAAGGAGGAAGAGAGTAAAAGAGGAGGAGGCGAAGGGCGAGAGGAGGAGGAAAAGGAGAAAGACGAGAAGGAGGAGGACGAGGAGGAAGAGGAGGAAAAGGAGGAGGAGGGGGAGGAGGAGGATGATGATGATGATGATGATGAGGAGGAGGAGGAGGAGAAAAAGGAGGGGGAACAGGACGAAGAAAAGGAGGAGCTGCTGCTGCTGCTCACGGCTGTGGGATGCTTAATCCAAATATTCCAATGTCGATGGAAACAGCTCGCTTGTCTGCACACTAAGGGGGGGGGGGGGGGGGGGGGGGGGCACCCGTCTTGGGTAAAACTGTGCCTGAAATTCACCTGTCCGCCGTCCACACCCGCTAAGGTGTTGCTACTTGCCAGGTGCGCACGGCTGCGCTGCCCGAAGCGCAATGGCTCCTGGCGCAGAGCGTGCACACATCGCACACAGAAATCACATCATTCTTGGAACTCCCCGCCCTAACCAGACGACGACAGGGGCACGACACCCTCCAAGCCAGGGCGGAGGCTAGCGAAACTGCCCTCCGCGCTCAGGTCCCTCACGATTTCAGTACATCGATCCAAGCCGAGATCTCGTCCTCCAGGTCGCCGCTCGGCGCATGGCCCTGCGTGGCTGGGGCGCCCATCGCGCCAAACGCCTCCACGATGGTCCGTTCCTTGCCAGCGTCGCCCAGCAATAAGACTATCTTGATCACTTCGTCGTCCTTGCAGCTCTCGGGCCTGCATAGACGTGCTTCTTGCGGTGGCTGGTCCGTGAACTCCGCCTTCGTCGCCTCTAGCGCTGCGCGGTTGACCCTGCCCAGCTCCGCTGCCGCCAGCGCCGCAACGAACAGGACGGGCGCTGGGAGGACCCTGCCCCTGAGCTCCTTCAGCGTGGCCTCCGCCGCCGCCGTGGCCTCGCGAGCTGCTTGGCCGTCTGAGCCCTGGCCTGTTTTCGCCCGCTCCTTCAGGGTGCCGATCTTCGTCCTCAGCGTGCCGGCGTGCTCCGCGAAGCCCCTCGACTCCTGCTGCGTCGCCTTCGCGCCTCCGCTCGCCTCCTCGGCGAGGATGGCTCGAGTTGCAATCCCCCATGGCGCTCTTGGGCACTGTGTCAGCTGGGCCACTTGCATTCTCGGGCGCGAAAGATACCCGTACCCTTACCTAGACAGGGTGGCAAGGGGTCGGCGGGGCGGTTCGTCGCAGCTGACGGCTGCTGCACAAGTGTAGAAACGACAGCCGATCGAGCATTACAGACCGCTGTCTTTTCGGGGCGCACGTTAGCACCGATCGCACGTGCGTTCGAAACGGCGGAGTGCCCGACCCTGCGTTGGTTGTTGTCGATGTAGACCAGCTACTGCGGAGGCGCGCCCCCGGACGCACATCCGGGCGTTGAGGAGACAACGCGCACTCGGGGGCGCATGCGAACAACTCTGGCGCGAACGTCATTGCGCGACAACCGCCCTATCGCGAATTGCTCGATGCAGAGACGTCGCGAATCTGTGCCCTGGGCGAGGTCGCCAGAGGCCGCCCCCCTTGGACGGCCGTCTGCGGATCACCCCAGCTAGGTACGGCTGCCCCATAAATATACCCGTACCTAGCCGGGGTGCCGCAGCTCCACCCCAGCTCGGTCCGGGTATGTTTCGGTGGTTTCAGGCAGGTCCCCGTACCTAGCCGAGGTGGCGGCAGGCCCAAAACGCTCTCGAGCACATATCATGCCCTCCAAAGCTGTCCCCGACGTGGCCGCTGCGGCCCCCTGGGGGCGCGACATTGCAACGTCGTTCCTCAGGGCAGGCCCAGACGCATTGGTTGCCAGGATAGCGAGGAAATGCAACTCTTTATCGATTGGGACAGGCGCCACCACATATGGGCGGCTTCGAGCCGCGCACGCGCCACGATGCCCCGAGACGCCCCTAGCAAAAACCAGCGCTTGTCGCTGCAATCAGACACCCGACCATCGAGCGCGCCGTTGCGTCTTGATGTGCGGATGCTGCACTGGCGCGCGCGGGGCAAGCTGACCGGGCACAATAGCAAGCGCCCAGTCCCCTGGACGGCCCACCTCACCTTGGCTGGCCCCGGGTACGGGTATCTTTCGGACCAATGATGCATGCTCAGGAGGAGGAGGATTTCCTTCAGTCCCGCGTCCTTGGTGTTGAGCTTGCGCTTCTCCTGCTCTGCCCTTCTCCTGCCGCCCCGCCTCGCTCTCGGCTCCGTGCCCGAGCCCTCTTGCCCTGCGCGTCCACGTTGGGCCCTCGCACAGCTTGAGCCCTAGAGGACCTCGCGCTCGCTGTTGTCGTCGTCTCCGGAGTCCTTCCCACCAGTCTGCGGCGCTGCTGAGGGCCCCCCCCCGATTGGGGCGCCACTTCTCTGCCTTCTCCGCCTCCGTCTTCACGCGAACTAGCTTGGAATTCACGGGGGGCGAAGAGGCTGGCCGCTGCGCGAATCTCACTACCGCGAAGGCGATGGCTGCGGGCGGGCCAGATCTCGGGGCCCAGGGCCGCGGCGCTGGCGGGGAAGGGCGAGGCTGCACCACAGTAATCGAGATTCTCTCCTGGATGGGAGGCAGATCAGAGCGCGAGCGGCTGCGGAGGCACTCGTGAGATGCGCGCGCCCTCTGGCACAGCGCACACGCGCGCGTCGGGCTCGACGCGCGTGCACGGGCACGCCGCGATGCGCTCGATGCACCTCCCCGCGCGCCACGACCTCGCCTGGTGTCTTACTCCCCCCCCCCCCCTGTGTCGGAATACTGCACTGCCGTTGACGCATGCGTTGCTAGGCATCATGATATTGAGTAACATGTCCCCCCTCCCGTGCCCAGGTAGTTTAGACTGGCATATATGTGCTACGAGTGCTGCGCGCGCGGAAGCACTGCCAACGCAATGGTCCACATTCCCTCTTGATCGCGCGTGCGGAGATGTCGGCATTTGTGTTCGCGGGTCGCGTCATCACCCCGGGCAGCAGGCGCGGCCTCTGCCAGGCAAGGCGGCGGCCCCCTTCGGGTCGCAGCAGAGGCGCTGCGCAGGCACCGCGGGTCGAACGAGGTGAAGGCGGTGAACTTCCTCGTCCCGCAGCAAGTCCAGCATTGCGCCAGACCTCCAGGCCTCGACGAAGGACTCCGCTTCTGGGGGGCTACACATCACCTCGATGTCTCGTCGAAACTGGCGCGCCCAGGAAGGAATCTGCGCATCTGCGTTCATGATGCCGTTCTCCTGCAGCGTGGGCGGGCCGGGGTGTTCGCGCGTCGCCCCCCGCTGCACGTCGCCGAAGAAGATGGATAGTAGGTGGGCATGGTTGTGGGGCGCTCGAGCTATCGCCTGGCATTCTCTCAATCGTTGCACCGTAGCCTCCACTGCAAATGAGGCCAGGTCCCAGTGCCGATAAACTCCCGAGTGGTAAGTGTCTGCGCGTGGCTATGTCCAATCGTATCTGCGCCGCACATCATCGATCGCAGCTTGCAAACCAGCGCACCACGCAACTGCTTGGTCTCGGAGTCCGTCAAGCAGAAAGCACATGCCTCAGACGAAGCCGCCCCGCTGACCAGCGAAAGTAACATGAGCCTCTTGACGCGGGAGGGGGCGGCCGAGTACCAGAAGCCCTGGGCCACCGCCCGCCCCGTCGCGACCGCCGCCAGCCTCGCCGCCAGCTCATTCGCGCTGCTATTCACCGCGTTGACCCGGACCCCCGAGCGCTTCAGCTCGAGCCCGCTACGGCAGCCACCCTTCGCGAAGCCAATGATCGCCCGACGGGTCAAGTGTCCTTGCGGAAAGGCAGGCGCAACGTCCTGCTTGGAGCGGTTCCGCCCGCGCGCGCGTGCAGCAAGGGCTTGGTCGACCCCCCCGTCGCTGCGGCTCGAGAGGGCCGCTGCTTCTGCCGCCGCCCTGGGGGGCGCCGGCCACGGCGTCTTGAAGGCGTCGCCCATGAAGTATTCCAGGCTCGCGCCCACCAGGGGGAAGCCCTCGAACTTGATCATCATAGCGTTGCCCGTGCAAGCCTGCTCTGCCGCTGGCCATTTTCGGATTGCAACGCGGTGGGGCCCCAATGGAGCCCCCAGACAGATCTCTGGTTCCGATGTGTCGCCCATGAACCCTCCAGAACCGGCGCGTAGTGTCACCTCGCCATCAGCATCTGGAATGACGACCGCAGGAGCCTCTCAGCCTCTCGTCTTTGCCGCGAGATGGCCGAGAGGTAGACTGTGGCGGTGTCATCCAGCTACTCGTTCTCCCCCGGCGCGGCCCGCGCCGTCTGCTCAAGCTCCAGCTTGCGACCGCAGCAGATGGCGTTGGTCGCGTCGTAGCTCTTGCGCAGCATGCGCCGGCCTGGGCGGCGCCCCTTCCGCGCCGCGACGCGCGTGGCCATCGCCAGGTGCTCTCGTCGGCGGCCGCGGGCGGCGCGCGCCCAGGCTGGCGCTCTGAACGCCCCTCCTCGGAATAACCCACCTCGAACGGCCGCGCGCCAAAAAGGGCGCGGCGCGTGCTCCAGCCGCCCGCCCGCCACCCCAGCCTTGCCACTGCGCTTGTCCGGGGCGAAGCCACGCGGCAGTGACGCCGGTGCGGGTGGGAGGCCAGCTCGCCGAACATGCAGCACCAATCGACAGGGTCGATGTCGCACTACCCCCACAACTTCCAGGTGCCGCAGTTGCAGGCGAGCGCGGGGGTCGGGATCTGCACCGCCAGATCCGGGCGCGCCCCAGATTCCCAAGGTTGTCGCGCGTACAGAATCGACCAGCATCTTGTAGATCTCCGACGGGGAAGACCATGGCGGCGCAAACTTGCCCATCTTGGCGCGCCTGAGAACTTTGATCGTCATCGCGAAGTCCTTCTGCCCTCTCTTCACGGTGTCCTGGTCCAGGTCGGCTCTATAGGGGATCGCGCGGTCGTCGGCGTTGCTCAGGTCCTTGCAACGCTCCTTAGTAAGGTTGCGGCACCACGTCGCTGCGACACGCGAAGCCGCCAATCCTCCCCCCGAAGGATCCTTCGCCAAAAAAGGTCGACCACTCGTCGCAGCTCGGGCTGCGGGCAGCGCGGGCCCGGTAGTTGCGGCTCGCGACGCCTATGCCCGCTCGTGCAAGTGACCGAGCCGGTCTGGGGGCCAGCGCCATGTCCCGCACTCGCCAGGCTTGGCGCAGCTCGCCCTCCGCGAACACTTGCCGTTCTCGATCTCGACGTCTCCTCCAGGAATCAGATGCTCGAGTGTGGCTACGTATCGCTGGTCCAAATTTCCATGCGTCCTCCTCGCTATGTTGCCTGCCCTTCCATGTTCACTCGTGCGATCTGGCTCTGACTCATGACAGCACGCGCAGGGCTGATGCTGCCTCTCTTTTGGAGTCGGCGTGCCCCGGAGAGGCATCCAGCCCGTCTGGGCCCTCACCCAAAAGGGAAGGGGGCCACCCTGGTGGCCCGACCCCGTGCGACCCCAAGACTGGTTCTGACGAGGGGTGCCTCGAGGCTCGCGGCCGCGCCTATTTTGACGTCTAGCCGACTGATCAGCAAGAGGACCCACCCAGCATCTGAAAGATACTCCGTCCCAATATCTAAAGTACAGTGACGATCATCTGGGCGGCACTGGTCTGCTACTTGGTCTTCGCCCGCATTTGGTCGCCGCGGGTGATGCTGTCGGGCAAAGGGGGCGGCGTCGCGTCGCCCAATAAACGACGGAACGTCGCTCGCATCTCCGCGAGCCGTCTCCAATGCTGGCTTTCCATATCCATGCGCTCACCAAGTGAGGAGGCCGCCAATCGT